ATCTGGCTTCAGCTAAAAAGAGGTCCACAAAAAAGTGAGGAAAAGACAACCCAAAGTGTCAGTTAATTATAAAATGTTTTAACTGTGTCATTTTTTTTTTTTCCCCTCCAGAAAACAGAACATACATCAAACCAACCATCATGTACTGAAGGAACCACCTATTGTTGAAAAATGTATAATGACCACTATCTGAAGACTATATAGATCCTGAGAAACGTCCCTTCCAACCTTTGATGCCTTCAGTACGGTGTGAGGAACAGGATTTGTAGCATGAAACTTGAAGGACAATTCCAAGCAATTTACTGTTGCTGCATTGAAAAACTGCCGTATTAAGACATACTGAGACTTTTTACAAGCTTACCATACCAAACCAAGCCTGTTACAACAGATCATTTTTAGGTCCCCGGAGATAGAAAGGAGTTTTAGTATTTTTAAGCACATACAGGAATTATTTCCCCCCCTTCCCCAGCCCATCCCGAAAAGAACTTTTTTTTTTTTTCCTTAGGAGGTGGCTATTACTGGATAGCAAAGGCACAATGATTTTAAGCCACACCAGTCCTGCACTGGCTGTACATCAAACAAGTCCAGTTTATCACTGAAACTGTTCAACATGGAGCTGTTTCGATTGTGTTTATAAATTAAGCTTTGTTTACTGAAGCAGATACTCGATATATATTACGTTTTAAAAAGAAATGTGTGTACATTTTTTAAAAGAACGATGTAAAAATTGTCCTTTCATTAGATGACCAACTCAAAAGTGTGAGCTAAACCCTAATAGCTGACGTAATATGAGGATTATAATTGATGCTTTTTTTTTTTAATGCTCAGTTCAGCTTGGCTTTTGGTCTTTTAAGATGGAAAAATGAATATGCAGTAGAGTGTTAGATAATGGAAACTTTTAAGTATGGTTTCTCTGTTGTACCATATTAAGTTAAAGTACACATTCTTTGTTAAAAATGTTCTTGCTAAAAATACAGTATTAAAAAGTTTTTTGTTTGACTTTGGAAATCTTTTAAGATTTTTTTTTTTTTGGACTGTGAATTCCCATAGTAACTGTACTAATGCAAACCAGTATTTTGCACTATTAAAAATACTTGAAGAAATTACTTAATAAAGAGGGTGGGTTGGTATTAAACATCTTCCAATTATTGTATGTTCCAGATTCTGAACTTTGCAACTGAAACATTCCCTTCTCAAAACATGTGACTGAAAGGTGGTTTGAGTCAGGTGGAATTAAGTGATCACCTGTTCTCTCTTTACCTTCATTCCTGGGTCAAAGGCACAGTGCTTATTTACTTACAAACTCCATGTTTACACACACATGCCCTGAATTAAATCACTGCCACTTGAAAACGAGAAAGACCTTTAAATAGAGGCATGGGGAATCTGTTTCCTGTGATTATGTTTATTCCTGTCTACATCTGTATGTATAATGCTCAAAATTTCTTTTTTTTATGGTACTACATTTTTTTCTCATTAGCAGAATTCTGCAATCAGACTGTGCTCTGTGACACAGCAGAATAGAATCACTTGGGGGTTTTTTTTGTTCCTATAAGAAATCTTTTAGCTTAACCAGTGTCAGTTCAGGAAAATGTTAGCCTCTGTTTTACTGGTGATAAAAGGACTTTTCAGAATATTCTCTCAGTCTACAGAACTGCTTTGTTCCATAGTAATTTTATAGCAGGTGTTCTAATAACTGCATTAATCACGCTGCCATTGATCAAACAATCAGAACTTGAATAATGCAAAGAAACAGGAGGATTAGGAATTGTGAGTCCTCCCGACTCTTAATAAGAGCCCATGTGTGACTAAAACACTGCAGGACCCCAACTTGAACTCCACCTTTGAATATATGTTAATTTTAGTTTCAATTCCATTGTGATTCTCTGAAATGAGGGTTGGACCTTCCTTATGTGTAAATCTTATTTTTTAAAAAGGAGCCGAAACAGTTTTGGGGATGCTGCAGCGTTTCTGACTGATACTGCTGATAGTGCTCCTGAGAAGGGAGGTCTTTGCTGAGTTATCCAGTATCGTGAGTTTAGAAAGACTCAAAGTAACTAAATAGTTCATTCTTTAAAATACCAACATTTTTGCACTTTTCCTTAATCTCCACAAAGGCTGTTTGAGCACTTTTTTCCTCAGTGGCTGATCTACATGTTACACAGGCAGCATTGAGCCTGTGTTGATTTCTGGTTTGCCCATCACAGACTACTTTTAAACAAAGTACTGACAGATGAGGTTTAGGAGACGCATAAACTTGAAAGACTGAATGTGTTCAGTCCTTACTAGGGGGCTCCTGATAAAGTATTGACAGACCAGGGCACTGAGGGTTTTGGTGTCAGCTCAGCCTAAAGAGCACAGTCTGACGAGCGCTTTCTGTGGGAGGAACATGTTAAAGCCATCCCGGGGTGGAGCAGGGCAGGAGGCACCTCAGCCTTCACCACCACACTCCTCCTCCCCTGAGGCCATGAGCTGAACAGCCCCAGCTGCTGCAGTGCTGGCACCCAGGGAGGGACAGCACCTCTGGGAGGGTTTGGCTTGTGGGTTTGTTTTTGGATGTGGAGCAGAGGGACAGTGCCAGCCCATCCTCTGCAGGGTGTGGGCTGCTGGCAGCTGAGCTGGGGGTTGTTTGCAGCCTGGGGAGGCACTGCCAAGGTCGGGGTGCAACACCCACAGCTCCTCTGCATCTGCCTCTGATAGCTCTGGGTCCCTGCAAAGCATCTTCTTGTGTGGGAATGGCCTTTGGAATGGCTCGGTGCCAGCAGAGCTGCTGGTGGCCAGACACAAGGTGATCTTGGCTAAACACAGGCAGGTTAATGGACACCATTACTGCCCTGTTGTGAATCCTGTGTAATGCAAACTGCTGCCACAACAAACCCCAGCAGGATCAATAGTGACCAATCTCCGTGTGAGGTGTGGATCTATAGCAATGCCCAGCGAGAACACTCTGCTTTGGAAATGCACGGCTGTGCATTAAAGCCTGAGCGCTGCTGTAAGTAATTGCTACCTACAAGTAAGTGGCCCATTAATAAATGTATTTACAGACGATCTTTGGTACGGTGACAAAATGTGGGCTAACCTGAATTGTTGCAGATTTCCCTCACAGCCTCAGCTGATCTCCACAACCACTCCTGTGCCTGTGCACAGACTGAGCTCTAAATACACATGGGACAATTCCCAGCCTGGTCTTGGATCTGTTACCTTTGGCAACAATGCTGATGGAGGCACTTCCCACTTTCCCACTGCTGCTTCCAGCTGCGGTCCCACAGCCTCCACCTGCACTGCTGTCCTTGCTGGGATGGGGTGAGGAGGGACAGAGAGGGAAAGGAATTCACAGAGGGTTTTTTTTTAAAGCCAGGTCATGTGCTCTCATAGTTTTTAACACATACTACAAATGTTTAGGCGCTTGTAAAATCACTGTTAATAAACAGTTTGGCTTTAGTTCTGTCTGCAAATAAGGACGTCTTTGATGATTTGAAGATGGGATGGAAGGGGGGGGGGAAGTATTTTTATAATGATGTATTTATAGATGGATAGTGATTTGCTACTGCTTTATATTTGTACATCAAAGAAATCAATTGAGCCAATTCAGTGCCAGCACAGCACAAATGCTGCAGCTTGCACCTACCTTTGCCATTAGACCTGAACCTGTTCAAATCTATTGGAACAGAGCATCCTTTGCATGAATGTTTGGGTGTGGGAATCTGAAGCAGGGGAAAAAAATGCTTTTTTAAAAAGATACTCTCATTATTCTGAGTTCCGTTAAAAGTACAGTAAGGTTTTACTGTATCTTCATTTTATGATTCTGTTGACATAAAGGAAATGCACCACCATATATTAAGATGCTCTTGTGATAATTGATACTTTAAAGATTAGATGCTTTATAATAGTTACACTCTTTTAATGTACATTTGGCCTTGCATGTTTGAAAATGCATGCACAGCTTTTTCAAAAACTACCCTGAAATGTGTATTCACTGGGCAGCAGGTCCCTTTCACCATCTACCAGTTCTTTGGCTGTCTCCAAGAGGGGTTGGTTGTGGGAGACAGAGTTTTGCAGTCTGAGATGTAATTTCTCACTTTTCAGAGCTCAGAGCTCCCCACAGGGATTCCCTGGGTGTTGTTTCTGCCCCACGAGCTGCAAGAGCAACCCAGCTTTGTCAGCTCAGCTGGGACAGCACCTTGGTTAAGGTCATTATCTTTAAAACAAAAGTCTTACATGGGTTAGAACATGGATGGATGGATGGATAGATGGATAGACACATACATGTACCTGCTTCTCCTGGTAACAGAGCAAGTGCCCACTATTCTGGAATAAATTTTGGCTGGTCAGAGCGAAGATGGAGATGAACCAGCCAGAGAAGGGACACACTCATATTGAACTATACAAAATCAGTCCAGCTCTAATTAATCATTGTGTGCTTCAGTCAGCCCATAGTGAGCCAGACATACTTATTTTTCACAAAAAAAAAGTCTAAAATAAGGTAATGGTGAGAAACTCAGTAATTTTGAATGGTGAAGACATGGTTTCATTACAAGATTTGCCACACAACACCCTCATAATGAACATTGCAATGCAGTGGTGCAATACACCTTGAGGTTTTTAAGAGTGTTTCTGCTGTAAAACAGCTGGATTTAAACACAACATTAGCAGCTGAGTGTCACAGCACGTGGATGTACCACAGCACCAGGGCACAGCCGCCTTTGGGACTGTGCCAAAACTGTGCTAAAGAAGTGTTTGGGGTCACAGTGCATTGCCCCCTGCCTTTGGAGGGCTGAATACAGCATGGAGTGCTCATTTTAGGATCTGGGCTTTCCCTGAAGCTTTAATCTTATTACCCAAATCCACATGCCCAAAATGAATTGCCCCCCTCCTCCCACCAAAGTGTCCAAATAGAAAGGAAAAACCACTGGCATTAAATGAAACAAGATGAATTGACTAAAAAGAGAGCAAAGAATAAACAGGAATGAAAAATAAGCCTTAATTCACTCCAGTGCCAGTAGGATTTGGCATTTAACTTTAATCATATGTTTCATTCTATATCAGGAAGAAATACCTGTTTGCTGTTTCCCCTGACAATTCCTGCCATTAGCTGAAAGTCTGTTTATTCCCAGAGCTGTGCTGCCATCAGTTGATGATGCTGGGGCACATACAGAGAGGTTCTGGCAGGAAAAATCCTTTATCATTTGGAACATAATTATGAAACATAATATTATTCTTTGTACATCAGTCCAAAGCAATTCCATACAAATTGTTACATTCTCTTCCTTGGTGTCAGCTGGGGCAGGGGGAAAAACCACATTCCTCAAAGTAAGAAAGTAGACCAAAAAAAGCTGGTGAGTTAAATAACAAGGAATAAACTCCCCATTGGACATTTTCTTAATAGTTCTGTAAAGCTGCTGAAGGCAGAAATGGTACATAGAGATTTTTGGTGTCAGATCAGTGCTTTGCATTTTATGTGATCATTTACACCTGTGGAAAGTAAGTGTTTGATGGCATTTGACAGCTGATTTATTAACGTTTGACACCTGTATTACAATGTTGAAATGACTCTACAATGTGCAAAGCAGGGGAAAAACCACTGATTCCTCTCATGGCTTTTTCCTGGTAGTTTAATGCTGAGATTCCATTCCAAAGGCAAAAAGTAATCCCTTGCACCCCAACTGTAATTCTTTATTTCTTCTAGTATGTTATGGTCAGCTCACACTAACTTGGTGCAGGGGGAGGGGTGGAAGAATAAAGGAAGAAGAGAAAAGCAACTGTGTTTAATTCACAGCCCAGATGCAGAGGTGCTGGCTCTGACGCCAAACCAAACCCAGTGCCTCGAGGAGCCACAGCAAAGTGAGAACTCTGGTGAGAAACCCCACAGGACTGAGGTTCCTGACTTAAAACAGAGCTGGTAAGTAAATTGCCTTTTTTTTTTTTTTAAGTTATTAGTTTTTCAAATAAGCAGAAATTTTCACTAAATGAAAGTTCTGGTTTTGCTGAAATTGGTGTTGGCTTCTTCAAAGTGTCAAGAAACTCCCAAGGCAGGGTATTTCTTTTGCACTGTTTAAAGGCAGACAGTGACAGACTCCGGTCAGAACTGGTGTAAGAAGTGGTTGATCAGTTTAATACTTTCTGAAATGTGGTGGACTTCTCAGTTTTAGAATTATTAAAATAGCTGCACCCATTGAAAAAAAAAATGTCAGCAATATCATCTCCATGCATACAAAGTCATTGGAGCTTTGAATTTACAAAAAGAGCCCTTTCCACCCCAGGAAATCAAGCCCAGGAAGAAGGATCATGGACACAGAAAAAGCACAGTCTAAATTAATGCTATACAATTTGTCAAGCCCACAATTATTTGAAATGCAATTGCCAACGTTATGTGTTGACAGGATGTGATCTCTTAATGAAAATAATGATATTGTTTGCTCATCTGGTACCAGCCCAAAGGAAAAGCCTCTCCGATTTCACACATGGAAGTAGCTTTTCCAGCTAAAATAATGCAGCAGCCGGTGTAGCATGAATAAGTTAAGTATCTGTGAAGTTCATGGACTGGTGAGGAGGGAGGACCCATTTGCCAAGCTGGGAATTACTGACAGACTGAATGACCCATGTCTAGTCCTGTCACGTTGCTTTACACATTGTAACACAGCCCAGTGGAACAGAACCTGGGAGAAATGACTTCAGCACGAGAGCACAAGATTTTCAAGGTTACCAGTTTTGGATTGTCACAGGGGCCACGTTTCCTGGATCAATTAGAGTGGCCTTTTTTTGGCACCCATTGATAAGGCAGAGAGCTTTGCCATCACTTCAGAATTCAGCTCTCTCATGTTTACCGGTGTCTGTCTCTTGGTCTACATCACATACAGAGAAATCCAAGCTCCTAATGCTCATGGACACTGCCCTCCCTGTGTTTCACCTGCAGGTCCTGGCTTGGAGCAGCCAAATTTCATGAGGGGAGGGAGACAGTGTTAAATGTAACTCAAAGGACAACAAAATTAGTTATTTTAACCAAGAAAATAAAGCGGGTAATTTTGCTTCCTCAGCATCACGGCTATATCTGAGCGGGAGACCAGAAACCAACCCAAATGTTTATTGTATTCAGGGGTAGAAAGGGGGAATAATTTGCTCAATCTCAGGGAAGGTTTGATTTCCAAGGATAGCAGTTCCAATATAGTGCATCACAATACATAGGATTTTACTTATTTTGTTGCTGTGGTTTAGAACGAGAGAACAACCAGGAATTTCCACTGAAGGGCCCTATGTGCTCAGGCATTTTGGAAATGCAGGACTGCAGGGTGATGAAGATAACATCAGCTGCTCCAAATGGGTCCGGGTGATTTTTGACTGAAGTTTTATTAGGAATTTGAACGTGACATCCCTTCCTGATGAGCACATCCCCAACATCCCCAGCCCATTAATGTCAATGAGAGTTATGCTTACATGGCACAGAGAGCAGATCTTTTCCTTGTGCTTGTCCAGGGTTCTGACACATAGCCCCGATCCTGGGCCTTACTCAAACAATGACAACTTAATGGGGGTTTACTTTGGGCTCTAGATCTCTATAAAAGTAATTTTTAAATAGCATAATGGAATAATATTTACTCGACAGCCTTTGCATTGTTTATTCCCCCGTGTCTATCTTACGGTCTTGTAAGATAGAAATAAATATTTACTCACTCTTCATTCATGCAGTTTATTCTATGTAGAACTGTAGCCAGCTCTGTGCATCATGTTGCCTTATAGCTGGATGCTATAAAGAAAGGAAATTAATTGTTGTTAAACTTAGGGATGTGATAAAAAGGGGAAAAAAAAGTTTGTGCTGGCTCCTGTCTGCATTTTACTGCATTTTACAGCTTGTACCCCCTCCCACCCCGTCTCCTCTGCCAGTGTGGGGGTGTGGATGTGCGTGTAAAAATCAGATTACCTCCAGCTCATTACTGTCCACTGACAGGGTCCCTCTGTAAAAACTTTTGATGAATAGTCAGCATCTCATTCCTCAGTCATAAAAAACCCTAAGTTGCTTGCAATCATTATTCCAAATGGAAAAATTAATTGTAAATAACTGGAAGTCAATTAAGGCTGGGTTCTGCCGGGTAATGCAAATCTTTTATAGTTTTGTTTCAGTTAACTGCCTCATTAATGATTTATAGATGTGTATACAGCTGTGGGAACCATAGCATTATCTAATGCACTCAGAGAATAATTACATATGAAAAGAACTACGCAGCTCAAGGGAAAAACTCAGAAATTACTTACTGCCTTAACTTCAACCATATTAAGATGCAAAGCATTTAGAAGCCAACTGTGATGTTTTATCATATTCTTGAGGTTTTATACTCTTTTTAAAAAGGGAAAAATAATTCTCTCTAAAGAAATATTTGTATACTTCAGTATTACACAGTACGCAAAAATCAAGATGTCTCAACTGAGAATGTCAGCATTTATTTATTATTTAAAAGCCTGAGTTATAAAACATTCCCATTCCCTTTGTGCATCTGCTATACAGGAATAAAAGGCATTTCTACAGTTAAACAATTCATGGGCATATGCATATATCTCCCTGAATTACACAGAGCTAGGAGTAATTTTGGAAACTCTTCCTTCTGGAGTCGTTTTCCTGGATATACAAATCCATTGGTACTTGTTCTTTGGTGATGCCGTTGTTTGAAGTTTGAGGGGATTTTTGGAAAATATTCTCTCCTAAAACTTATTTCACATCTAGGAGGGCACTAAACCAGAAGTCTGCACGTTTTGCTACTTATTTATTAGAAATTCTAATCCAGTGATAAACTGCTGTTGGACATTTGGAAGCACCAGAGGGGATCCTTTGCTTTCAAGCCTGCCTTTCTTCGTTCTTAGAGCTGAGGGGGTCAGGGTCTTTCTCACCAAAACCTGCCCTGAAATTTCCATTAGATTTGGCTCTGTAACACTGCAGATCCTCAGCCCAAACCTTTGGCATTGCTGTGAGGGAGTTCTCTGGGTTGTGGCTGTGGGAACGGGGCAGAAAAGCCGAGCGATCTCCCTCGTTGTGCTCTGCCCCCCAAAATCATCTTCCTCCTTCAGGCTGAGCAAAATCACCATCCCACGCTTTTGTCCACAAAGTGACTCCAGGAAAATTGGGGTGCTTGTGGCCAGCTGCTGCTGGTTTGAGCTGTTCCAGCCAAGCCAAAGACCAGTCAGTGCATTGGGGGGTCCTCACAGCCACCTCTTCCCCCAGGACTGACACAACTCCTCTTGCTCCTCCTTCACCACGTTCTTCAGGTCTCTGCTCCCAGCTCTCTTCTCCAGCCCAATGCTCTTGATTTGTTTGCTCAGTCAGGTGTGAGTTGATCTGTCCGTGCTCCTGCTCACACATTGTGTGATTTAGGATAAGTGCCTTTTTTGGCATATATTTGGAAATATTAAAATCTTGGCCCAGTTATCTGAACTATACAAGGCCAGAGGGAGGCAAATAAAATTTTTTATTTTGTCTGCAGATGTTCGGCCTCTTATATAAAGCCTACAACTATCCTGTATCACTTATTCATTTCACAAATAATGTCAGCACATTTCACCAGGTAGGCAAAAAAAGAAAAAAAAAACAGCCTGATGTCCTTTTGGTGGGAGGTGGAGTGGCGAAAGGACACCACAAACTCATTCCAGGTTTTCCCAGCAGCACTGATCCACAAACACTGCTTGGCCACCAGCCTGGTGCTGCTGGCCAACTGGCTGTGGGATTAAATGGAGCACAGAAATGCTCAGTGTCCTGCTTGCTGTGCTGGAGAGCTGGTTCCATAGAGAGGGAGGCTCAGATGAAAACTCACAAGTTGTGTCTTTGCAGAAAATCCGTGGTGGCATTTGCTTGCCTGTTAAAGAGCAGGTTTAAACAGGTTTGTAATTGTGCATATATGGTTTTGCTATCACTGAAGGAAATTACCTGCTCTAGATTTTACCCACTGATAGAATGATTCACATTGACAAGGTCTCAGGGGGTCACCTGTTCCCACCTCCTGCTCAAAGTCTTCTGCACCTACATCAGTGGTCATGTGCGAAATGGAAGTGAAGTCAAAACCATGGGAATGATGTATTTGGTGATTTTATAGCCAGAGAATAAAATAGAAATAGACAGTAGAAATAGTCATAATTTTTTTCAACTCTGCAGTGATGTCTTTCTTGATAATGAAATATTATATTAATCTACAAGGACAAATTAAGGGCTGAAAATCAAGTATCATTTAACATTAGAAAAATGTACTTTTAATTCTAAGCTTTTGAGGTTGTACTGAATAATCTGCATAAGGAACAGCTAAATAAATCAAGATTAGGCTGTCTAGGGTGATTAAACACGCAGATACAGCCTTTGGCTTATGACATACTCATAGACATCCTTATGGAATTCTAGGCACAGAAGAGATGACAAACCTGCACTGGCCAGGAAAATAATCCAACTAGTTTAAATTCAAGAAGTTGGGCCCTTAGGCCCTCGTGCCTTCATGTTGTGCAGTGCCCAGAAGTGAAAGGCTCTGTCAGGGTCCCCGTGCCCCAAAACCCCTCAGCAGCTGCAATGGCAGACTGGCAACAGGCAGCTGGAAGTGCAGATCCGTGGTTATTTTAGTGCTGCATTGGTGATTCTTCACTGAGTTGAGGTGCCTTTTAGTGTCCTACAGGCTCCAGGCAGAGCACACACACATCTACTTATGGAATGGGGAAGGTGGGATCTGCTGGGGTCTGCTGAGGCAAAACATCGCAGATGCTCAGTGCTAAAGCATGCCTGTATCTACAGCCAAGCATTCCAAAGGCATTCCAAAGGGAATTGCTTACCCCGCTGTATCTGTCAGCCTTCCAGGGCCCAGAGAGTAGCTGAAAAAAAAAATGGATAAAGATATTCTAAAAAAATCCCCTGGGACCATCTCCCGTATTTAATAAGGAAAAGCACCTTCTGTGCAGCCAATAAAAGTTGAATCTCTCATGAAGATTTATACCATATTACACACTGAAATTCAATGTACAACGATACCCTTGTGTATACAGTTGTCAGAATAATAATCTTTGTCTGTCTGATCAACTTATATTTTATGCCAACAACACAGCATTTAATATTATACAGTTTCAGAGGAAGAAAATAAATTTATTCATGCAACAACTTGCCCAGTAGCTTAAACAGACAAAGTGAAAAAAAAATAGCTTGGAGTTTTTACATCAACTTATGATCCACAATACAGATTTCTATGCGATTTTAGCAATTTCATGCAGCAATATAAACTATGATTCTTAATCTAGTTTTTGAAACTGTCTCACTATTTTATACTGTCATGAGGAATAATACAGTTGGATCTGACTGCTGAAGTTTTGCTTTTGGCATTCTCCTCAAATGAGGAGTCTAAAAATACAAATGGTAACCAACAGCTTCTTTCTATATTCTGCACTGTCACATTCTGTGCTATATTCTTAGGCTTTGTGTCTCAAAATATATATCAAGAAACACTTATAGAGAAGATATACATGGACTCCCCCACAACCAAAGTACTCCTTGACAGAAATCAGCAGAGTCTACCCACGATATAGAGCTGGTTCCAAATGATGCAAAGCTCTGCCAGATAAGAAAACTTCAGCAATATAGAAAATCTCTGTTGTATGTAGATCCATTAAATCTATTCTTCAGGCAGCCTGTGCAGCAAACTGACAGATTTTGAATGATTTATTGTTACCTTTTTAAAGGCATCTACTTTTTACCTTACATTAATTTTTCTTTATATAACAATACCTGACAAAAATGGAACCTGGCAACACACCAACCTCCAAACAAGCTAATGAAAAGAATGGAGGTAGGATTGGGAACAGAAATAAAAGAGGATGGTTAGAAATGTATCTGTATCCCAAGATGTACCCCTAAAGCAAAGCTGAGCACTCATAAAAGGAAGGTGTACTCTAGCCTTTAGGCAAGAGTACTTAAACCTCACTTAACTTTAAGCTTAGCATTGGTGAGGCCCTGGCACAGGTTCCCAGAGAAGCTGTGGCTGCCCCATCCCTGGAATTGTTCAAGGCCAGGCTGGACGGGGCTTGGAGCAGCCTGGGCTAGTGGAAGGTGTCCCTGCCCATGGCAGGGGGTGGCACTGGATGGGCTTTAAGGTCCCTTCGAACCCAAACCAGTCTGGGGTTACAGAGGAGAAGGCAAATTCCTGTGAGATTTTAATGAAGTGGGCAAATTTCTCCATGGACTGTGGACTTCTCCAAACCTTCAAATCCCGTGGCCAGGCTGTGTGCCTTTAGGGAAGTGCTGCCTGATAATCTGTTGGTGACTGTCACTGAAACTTTTCCACTTTTCACACACAGGTAACTCCTATGTGGGAAGGAGATTTATTGGCCAAGAATTGGCTGTTCATCAGAACCTTTCTATTTGGGTTTTTGTGGTCTAGTTTAAAAGTAAGAATTCATACACAAAGATAATTTCATTTTACATGAAAAAAAAATACACGTTTAGGTATGACAGAAATGCATGTGAGAAAAACACACCAAACCAGAGGTAGAAAAAAGCTAAAGGAGGGCACAGATAAAGTCCTGCTTTGAGATTTATAGGAGTTTGTTTGCACAGAGCATATTTGGAGCACTTTGATCAGATTTATTCTTTTATATAAAAGCAAACCAACGCTTTGAGCCTACATCATATTGGCCCATGGGGGGAAAAAATGTGAGTAACAAATAAGCTGGTCCCCAAAATAACTCGGGCCTTCATGGACTGATAGTCTGAAATTACTCTAGAGAGGTGAGAAATAGCAAAGGGAAATCAAAGCATCAGAAAAGAGAATTGCCTA